TAGAACTGACAGAATTTTCTTTGTTAAATGTTTGATAGAACTCTCTAGTGAAACCAACTGGACCTTTTTTGTTGAAAGGTTTTTTAGCTGTGATTTAAATTATTGATCTGGTATAGGAAGAATCATATTTATCTATTTCTTCCGAGCAGTTTGGCAATTTGCAACTCTGAAAGAATTGTTCTATTTTACGGAAGCTGTTGAATTCATGTGGACAGAACTGCTCATGGAATTCTGATATTATCTGTAGATCTTAAGTGTCTCTAGTTCAGTTTCCTCTTCCATCCTTGAATTATACCATTTACACCTTCTCTTTTCGTGTGGGCAGTCAGATAGCACCTTATTGATTTTATTGAACTTTTCAAAGAATGAGCTTCTGATTTTATTGATTTTTTTTTTCTCTGTTGTTTTTGCAGTTGGTGACCACTGCTGAGTTCTGCAGTTCATTCACTGTTGGGGAGACAAAGGAGGAAAAACATCGATGAAACTCACTTTGGCTGTGAGTTGTTACTCAGCTTTCCACTTCAGCTCACGATCTATCTGATATCGCTTATTTGTCAAAGACCTGAAGGAGCTTTTTTTTTTTTTTAATTTTTAAATTTTTTTTACATTTTTTAATAAATTTTATTATTATTTTTTAAACATATAATATATTTTTATCCCCAGGGGTACAGGTCTGTGAATTGCCAGGTTTACATTTCACAGCACTCACCATAGCACATACCCTCCCCAATGTCCATAACCCCACCCCCCCTCTCCCAAAACCCCTCCCCCCATCAACCCTCAGTTTGTTTTGTGAGATTAAGAGTCACTTATGGATTGTCTCCCTCCAAATCCCATCTTGTTTCATTTATTCTTCTCCTACCCCATTAACCGCCCATGTTGCATCTCCTCTCCCTCATATCATATGATAGTTGTCTTTCTCCAATTGACTTACTTCGCTAAGCATGATACCCTCTAGTTCCATCCACATCATCACAAATGGCAAGATTTCATTTCTTTTGATGGCTGCATAGTATTCCATTGTGTATATATATACCACATCTTCTTTATCCATTCGTCTGTTGATGGACATCTAGGTTCTTTCCATAGTTTGGCTATTGTGGACATTGCTGCTATAAACATTCGGGTGCACGTGCCCCTTACCCTGAAGGAGCTTTTTGTATTCTGTGCAGAGTTTTCAGCTGTCATCAGTGGGAGAGCTAGGTCGTGGTGGGCTTGCTTCCTCTTGGCTGACAGTGGAAGTCTGCATGTGCTGGTGTTGTTAATGCTTCCCTTCTCTGTACTGCGAGTTCACTGACGTCAGAAAGTTGAAAAAGAAAAAAAAAGGTTGCATTTTTTATTCCTTATTTGTCCACCCTCTGGTAAAGCACCTGGTACATTAATATATGGCATTGTACATTGTGAAGTTCCTTGTTTTTAATTCACATTCAATGCAGTATCCTTAGTTTCCCATTAAGGTTATTAATGTATTGATTTTATTCCTTGTAAGATGGAATCTAAGGATCAAGGATGCATTTGTTTTCTATTGAATGCATAACAAATTATTACCAACATATCATCTCATAATACACATACATATTATCTCACAGCTTCTGTGGGTAAGCAGTTCATGTGTGGCTTATTGGTGCAACCTACTCCAGGCTATGACCAAGTTTTCAGCTGGGCTGTGTTCTCATCTGGAAGTTTGTTAGGGAAGAAGCCATCTCTGTGCCCATTCATGCTGTTGGCAGAGTTCGTTTGCTCATGGTTATATCACAGAGGCCCTCAGTGGCTCACTGGCTGACCCATGTCCTAGAGGTTACTGCACTTGGCCCTTTCCATGGGCACTTCACAAGAGACTGGTTTCTTCTTCAAGGCCAGCAGGTAAATCAAATCTCTCTCCAGTCCACTAGGTCATGATCTTATACAATGTGATAAAATCATGGAGTGATACCCTCTATCTTTGTCATAGAGCATAACCTAATCAACAGAGGAGCATCCTTGGCCATATTCTGTTGGTAAGAAAAAAGTCACTGGTTCTGTCCACATTCAAGGGAAACATATTCATGACACTAGGCATCACCTCAGGGGTTGTCCACCAGAAAGGAAGTCTAATACTTATTTATCTCACTTGAATATTCAGAAAACACTGGTAAAGTAATTCAGATCAAGAATGGGAGTAGAAACATGTCTCCTCTTACTTATTGTCATGTGTCTCGTTCCTTGTTCACATACAACAGAGCAGACCTATAGGGAATATACTGTAAATGAAAAAATGCATTAATGACTCAGCACTCGGGGCTTACCATTTGACACAATGTAGCTCTTCTGTTTGTCTTTGGCAAGAGGCGAGAGAGGATCCAGAATAAAGCCTACTGATCATTTGACTTCATTTCATTATCCCAAAGGTTCCCCCAAACCTAGAGCACTGTGTGTGTGGGTTTCACGGCACACAACACAGCTGGTGTTTGTAATGTCAAGGATGTACTCCCCATCCTGGCCCCAGAGTTCTACTCTCCACCCTGGCACAGTTGGGTCTCCTAGAGCAAGAATCCAGTTTGGGGTGGAATGCAGCATATATGACCAGGGAATCCAGCCATTCAACTGTTTCTTCAGTGAGACCATTTGATTGATTCTCTATGATGCATTGTATTGTCTAGTAAAGATCATGTTGAATGAGCTCAACTTATTGGAAATTACTTGCTAAGTGTCATTTTGACACCATCTCTATCAGTTAGGGAAACTGTAGAAAGCTGAATGATGCATTCAAAGCTTGTGTCTATGAATTCCAAGTGTAATTCTCCATTTCATACTGTTTCTGGCTCTCAGAACCTTGATGTCTTCCCCATAAGTTATGTGTACGATGTCTGTGTTTTTCCAGGTTTTCCTACAATATAAGTGAGGCACACCCACACGGGGAAGGCTAGGCTTCTTGAGTTTACGTGGACATTTTTCTAGTTCCAATCATATTTTCTACAGGTGCTTGTAAGTGCTTTTACTAACTACAGTAGCATGATCTTGAAAAGTTAGACTTCAGTGTTTGCAGCAGTAATGGGTTCCTTCCCAGGTACGTTTAAGAGCTCCAGAAGAGCTGGGTGCAGTGTGCTTCTTTCCTGTCATTGTGGTTTGAGATAAGATTGAATCCTATAAGAATGTCTAAGGTCAAATAAGAATATAATGGGTATGAAATTTACAGAGATTATGGAGACTAGATGGAGTCAGGGCCCTGTGCCGAAAGGTGATGGTGAATGCAGGGTTGGAAGAGTGAGGCACAGGTGGGTGGAGTGGGGAGGACCAGACACCTGCAGGCCAGCCCTTGTTCATCGACCAGAATAAGGTAGAAGAAGATAGTGTGAGAGCTTCCTTGCTTGCCATGCAGGACTCATTGTTTCCTGGCCTTCCTGATTGGACCTTGCCATGTCTTGATTCTCAGTCCGGACATTGAATATCTCCCCACTCCTTTAACATAAAACCCTGTGCTTACTGCCTTTTGCTCATGGTTATATCTAGCTCTGCTCCTAATATACCCTTCTTTATTTTCTCTCTTGAAGATCATCATCTCCATTTAAAATGGAATTGGGAGATTATCTTCTCTGAGAAACACTCGGTCCCTCTTCTTGGTCCATATCCATCATCAAAACATAGACCCACCCAAGGGTTCTTGGCCATTTCCTCCTCTGTCTTCTCTTCCACAGTGTGAGAGAAATGATAGGTTCTTCTTTTAATGTTTGTTTATTTCATTCATTTTAAAGTCAAGAAGTCTTTGCAGGATTCAGTGCTGTGGAGGACAGAATGACCCAGTTCTTGTATTTGAGACTTGACTCTAGTTGACAAGCTGATGCACCCACGTGGGGATGATGGATAGTAGGTAATGAAAACTAGCATTTGTGTGGTACTTCACAAGTCACAATCATTACCTCATTTGTTTATCACAAGACATATGGATCAGATAATATTGTCATCGCTTCACAAGTGAAAGAACTGACATGCAAATGGGTTGAGGTCTTTTCCAAGGACCACAATTATTGTTCAATAGTCATAATTAGAAATATAATTTTAGCCTTTCCACTCCAAATGTTATGCATTTTCCCTCCAAACCATGATGACTTTGGCCAAAATGAATGATGCAAATGACTTGGGTAGGTGTTTTTGTGGAAAGAATGCTTGTTTTGCTAAATTGGCTAGGGAAGGCTTTGCAGAGAATGCACTAATTGAGATACCTCTAAAAAAATAAAGAACGACTTGATCAATGAAGTAAACCTGAAAAAGAATTCATATAGGTATGAAAGCATGAACCTGTTGCATTTGGGGTGTAAATTTTCTGACTGAGGATAATTTCAGAAAGTTTTAAATTCTCATTAGAATTTTAGTGGCTCTTGAAGACAATTAGAGTATTAGTGGTTTTAGAGTGAGAAAATAAAACAATAATGTGGTACATTAAAGGTTCTAATTTGGAGGTGATCTTCAGTGGTTTGAATTATTGAAGGTTCCTGAAGGCTAGAGAACCCAATGGGAGACCTGACCGCATTCATGTGTGATTGTCACTGACAGAGTGCATGGGTAGTAAAATTATATTTAGAAAAGTGACCATTATATTATATCCAGATAAATCTTAATCCACTTTTGATATTTGACAAGAGATAATATTTAAGCAATAGAAAATGTGGTTTAGTGTTCTTAACAAATCACCACAAATAATGTTTGTGCACCTACCAGATACCCAGCATTGTTCCAGCTTCTGGGGATACCACAGTGAACAGTGCAAAAATGCCTCCATGGGTCTTCTGTTCTAGCATTAAATGTGCCCCCAATACATGGGGCACCTGGATGGCTCAGTGGGTTAAGCCTCTGCCCTCAGCTCGGGTCATGATCTCAGGGTCCTGGGATCGAGCCCTACATCGGGATCTCTGCTAAGCAGGGAGCCTGCTTCCCCCTCTCTCTGCCTGCTTCTTTGCCTACTTGTGATCACTCTCTCTCTCTGTCAAATAAATAAATAAAACCTTTAAAAAATGTGCCCCCAGAGGAGCCGGTGGAGGAGGTGGATGAGGACGCGCTGTCGGTGGACCTGGACGCGGCCATCGAGGGGCGCACAGGTGAGGGGGAGTTCCAACCCTTCTTCAGTGAGAAGACCTTTGGCGCCGGGGAGGCAGACTGTGGGCTGCGGCCTCTGTTCGAGAAGAAGTTGGTGAAGGACAAAACGGAACACGAGCTTCTGGAATCCTACATCGATGGGCGCATCGTGAAGGGTTGGGACGCGGAGGTTGGCCTTGCACCCTGGCAGGTGATGCTTTTCCGGAAGAGTCCCCAGGAGCTGCTGTGTGGGGCCAGCCTCATCAGTGACCGCTGGGTCCTCACTGCTGCCCACTGTCTCCTGTACCCACCTTGGGACAAGAACTTCACCGAGAATGACCTTCTGGTGCGCATCGGCAAGCACTCCCGCACTAGGTATGAGCAAAGCATTGAGAAGATCTCCATGCTGGAAAAGATCTACATCCACCCCAGGTACAACTGGAGGGAGAACCTGGACTGAGACAGAGCTCTGCTAAAACTCAAGAAGCCCGTCATCTTCAGCGACTACATCCACCCCGTGTGCCTGCCTGACAAGGGAACTGCAATCAGACTGCTCCGCGCCGGATACAAAGGTCGGGTGACCGGCTGGGGCAACCTGAAGGAGTTGTGGACATACAGCGCCACCGAGGTGCAGCCCAGCGTCCTGCAAGTGGTGAACCTGCCCATCGTGGAGCGGCCGGTGTGCAAGGCCTCCACGCGGATCCGCATCACCGACAACATGTTCTGTGCCGGTTTCAAGCCCAATGAAGGGAAAAGAGGGGACGCTTGTGAAGGTGACAGTCGGGGACCCTTTGTCATGAAGAGCCCCTTTAACAACCGCTGGTATCAAATGGGCATCGTCTCATGGGGGGAAGGCTGTGACAGGGATGGAAAATAGGGCTTCTACACACATGTGTTCCGCCTGAAGAAGTGGCTACAGAAGGTCATCGATCAGTCTGGAAGTTAGGGGGTGCTGTTCACTGCAAAATCATAGAAACCAATCCAGCAGGATTATTTTTGTGGTTTGTTCCTAAAGCTATATGGTTCCAATAAAAGTGGCTGTCAACAAGCAAAAAAAAAAAAAAAAAAAAAAGAATATATGAAGCCTTTAGCAACAGCCATTCTTTTGGGGGGATGGGGAAAACTAGGAAGGGAAAAGAGAAGCTGGTCATGAAAAAAATGCCTTGTTTTAGTAGTTTATGCCTGAGTGAATTGGGATGCAGCTATAAAAGGCTTTATAGTTGAAACTGAAGAAATTCAGCTGAATGAAAAAAAAAAAAAAGGTTGCTCCTGTGGGCAGCTGGATGAAAAGTTTGAGGCTTTGTTGTTGAGAACACTGGTCATTCTCATCAAACTGTTCAGAATATTCTGGTCTCCCAAGGCAATGCCCAAGTGGGAAGCAGGTACTGGAGCATTTTTTTTTCTAAATTTAAAATAAATCCAGAGGGTTTCGTGCCAAAGAATCACCAGCTGCTGTGAGATCAATGTGTGTGGAATTATTAACAGGAAGCAAATTACTAACTACAACCTATGGAGAAAATTTGTCTGAGGCAAGAACTTTCTTTGAAGGATTGCACCCAGCATGAAAACATTTAATTTCCCCACAGTTACTCCACAGGGACCCACTAAGGGTGCCATTGGTAATAAACAAGAAGATGCTGGCTGCAAAGCTTTGGAATTACTAACCTGAAATACAGAATGGGAAGTGTAGGAGAGAAAAAGTGCATTTGATCAACAACACCTTCAAGTCTTTGTGTAAGAAGTCTAGATTAAATTTTTAGTGAATAGGTCCCCGTATTTGATCCTTTGATTTGATTTGACGTTTTGTGCTTGGAAAGACCTCAACCAATGTTTACTGTTATTGTTTGGATGAACCAGACACCAGACTTTTTACACTCAGGTGATGTTAGTGCCACAGGGGACCACAGGAACCATCTAAATAGAATTCATTATTTATCCAGAGATAAATTTATTTACTCAGACCAGTTAGTGGCCCAGAAGGGGACTAGAACATAGATCTCCAGGAAACTCTTCGTTGTTCAATCCACCTCATAAAAAAAAAAAAAAAAAAAGCTTAAGAACCTTGATGACATCCCCCATCTTTAATTAATACAAAAATTAGGGCATAAACCCACAAAAACCTTACTGAAGAACAATGAGAAAGACAAGCTATATATCCAAATTAGCCATAGTCCTTTTTTGGTTTCTTTCAGATTCTGGATCATGTGGACCATGTTACAGAATTATCTGGTAATAAATGAAGAGCTATTGAGGAAGACACTCTTAGTGTCTCAGATATTCCAGACATTGCATGAGTTTCTGTTTTGGCCACAGCTCTCAGACTAAGGACGAGAGCACAGGTCTTGGGAACTTCAGCTGGAGGGAGCTAACTTGTACAGGAAAATGCATAAGCTGTAGACTCAAGTTCAGCCTGTAATTCTACAGGGTACTAACTGCCTAATCTTAAACAAGTTACTTAATCTTTGACCTTTATTGTCTAACTGTGGAGGGGGATGGGGTGGGCAGAGCCTTTAAAGGACTTGTATTCTAAGTAGAGAGACAAATAAATAACTACAAAACCAAGTACCAAATCCAGTACTAGTCCTATATTTAGAAGGTTCAACTGTATTTGTGGTTGCAGGTTATCATTAGGGAGGATATCTCAGAAATGAAGTCATCTGAGCTGAGGTTTGAAGAACGGGTCAGGTTTTACAGGAAGACTTGCAAGATCTCCCCTCTAGAGAGGACACTTCATGACAAACTCAGAAGATATGACTGAATGGCAGCAATCCTCATTCTGCAAGAGGCTTAATGTGAGAGATGATGTGTAGGAAGATGAGGAGAAGGCAGTCTGATAGGCAGGTGGCAGAATATGGATGGCTTTGTTTTCTATGCCATGGGTTTTGAGTTTGCCCTGTATTTCACAGAAGGACCGTGATAAGGCATAAGCAGCTTTAGATTTTATAAAGTTTATGTCAGCAGCGGTGTAGGTAATGGTGCTGACAAAGGAATAGAGGAGGTAGCGCAAACAGCAAGACAGTTGTTGCTGTTTTCTTGGGTGGATACAAAGGTCCGCAGAGGCTATCAGTCAGGATAGGATAGGTTATACCATGGTAACAAAGGAAGCACAAATTCCAGGGGTGTGGAACACCGGTTTATTTCTTGCTAATACTGGCATCTGAGGGCTCTGGTCTATCTGCAGGCTGTTATGTCAACCTCTTTCTGTATTATGGTTAACAGCCATGGTAGGGAAAAATGAAACGTAACTTCTAAAATTTCTGCTGGGATACACGTCATATCTCACACTTCATAAGCTGAAACAAGCCATCTGGTCGCACCTGAACTTGATGTGGTGGAGAGATAACGTCCTTCAATAAGAACGGAGACAGCATCCTCCAATAAGAATGGGAATTGGATATCGGTGACAATTGATGCCGTCTGCTGATGAGATGGTAACGTTGTGGAGACTGAGTTTCTAGTATTATGTAGACAACTGCAAGAATAGTCACCAATCTTACACGCCTTGTACGATGTTTATCTTTTCATTTTTTTGGTAAGTCTTGCAATAAAACTACTGAGCCATACCTGCAGGATGAAATGTGTTGTGTGTGTTAAAGACAGATACTCAAACCAAAGATTGATTCACTTCCCTTTATTCATCAATGTTTCCGTTTTATTCCAAGAGGAAAGCTGGCAATAGATTCTGATTGTCTTTATTAAATAAGGGTTTTACACTCATTCTGCTGGTGGCAAGGATTTTTTTTTCCCTCATACCTCTATTGATGCCAGGTAATTTTGGCCTGAATCCCTGGCTTTGGTTTTGTACTTTTCTGGCTATTTGACGAAGTATACAGCTTAAAAAGATCTAGAGAGCAAGATTACAGGGTGACTTTTCTGCTATCTCTGGATCCTTCCATGTTTGATCCATAGACAAGTATGCCCATATTGATGCAGAAGAAGGATGTTTCCCAGAAGTCTGATGTCCCTGTTGCCTGGTCTGTGGGATGGAGTAGATGGAAGCAGGTTTTTCTATCTTCCCCTAATTGAGGATGAGTCCTGACATGTGAGTTGACTCAGAATCAGATCCTCAGATCCAATTTCCACAGGACACATAGGAGCTGTTGAAGTTCAGAGTGTCACCTGTCATCATTCCATTCTCATATTGAAATGAACAGTTTTCATTTTGAGCAGTGATTATGGGTCATGTAAAGGGCTTGTTTTTTTGCATCTGTCACGCACCTGTCCATTCTTACCTTTGCATAAATGAGAAACCGAGAGTATTGTTTTACACCTGGGGAGGGGGATGGGTTTTGGGAGTCTGAGTCAGGTGGTAGGGGGATTGAAATGTCATAATGTCATAATTTGCATAAGAGTTGGTGATTCTACTGCACTAAATTCAAAATAACTGATCAGAAAAGAAACAAACCAAACAAACAAATGAAACCTAGCCAGAAGAATATGTAACAGCTTAGAAACAAAGTAGAGACAAAGTATACTGGATTATTCCTCTGCCAGTTGCTAATCCCAATCTAATAGAGCCTGATTTAACTTAATCCCGTGTTTTCCCTTCTTAAATTTATAACATTTTAAAATTTTACCCTCTTTTTAATATTTATTTTATTTAAATTCAATTAATTAACACATGGTGTATCAGTTTCAGATGTAGAGTTCAGTTATTCTTCAATTGGCTATAACACCAGTGCTCATTACATCAAGTGCCCTCCTTAATGTCCTTTACCCAGTTACCCCATCCCCCCTACCTCCTCTCCAGCAACCTCCAGTTTTTTTCCTATAGTTAAGAGTCTCTTATGGTTTGCTCCCTTTCTGATTTCATCTTATTTTATTTTTCCCTCCCTTCCCCTGTTTTGTTTCTTAAATTCCACAAATGAGTGAAACCATATGATAATTGCCTTTCTCTGATTGACTTATTTCACTTAGCATAATACCCTCCAGTTCCATCTACTAATTGCAAATGATAAGATTTCATCCTTTTTGATGGCCGAGTAATACTCCATGGTGTTTATATACAACATCTTCTTTATCCATTCATCTGCCGATGGACATCTGGGCTTTTTCCATATTTTGGCTATTGTGGATATTGCTGCTATAAATGTTGGGGTGCATGTGCCCTTTGAATCATAACACTTGTATCTTTTGGGTAAATACAATTGCTGGGTCCTAGGGTAACTCTATTTTTAACTTTTTGAGGAAGCTCATACCAGTCAGAATGGCTAAAAAAAATAGGTCAGGAAACAACAAATGTTGGTGAGGATGTGGAGAAAGGGGAACCCTCTTACACTGTTGGTGAGAATGCAAGCTAGTGCAGATGCTCTAGAAAACAGTATGGTGGTTCCTTAAATTCTGTAACATTTTAAAATTATTGAAATAACACCCACTCAACTTATTTTAATGTATTAAACAAGTTTCTATTTTTTCAATTTAAGGAGTCTAGAGTGGATACTACTAGCTTTGGGCTAGTGTGGGGAGATAGGCTACAAGGGCTGGGTAACTTCAGCACTAGAGGGACATCATGTGACACTTAAATATGCAAATAAGTAAGTATTTGCCCTCTGTTTTTGGGATGAGCACAGGAAATTAACAATCCTATGGATATTTGTACTGTTTAGTAATTTATGCATTCAATTTAATAAACTATTTTATACGTCTATTATACATATTTCTTTTAGTAAGCCTTTACCAAAACAGTTTTTTTTTTTCCAAAATGAGTATGTATAGACCTCTTTAAAAAGTTAAAAAAAAAGTCTTTTGGGTCTCAAAGAGTATGTGAGTATTGTTGGGTTTTATGTGATAGTTTGGTCTTTTTGTCAATTTGATTATATATAAAAATATTTTATGATTATGGGAGGTTGTCTTTACTTCACTTTACTTTACTTGACTACAGTAATCTGGGGTGAAAGCATCATGATTCCTGAAGCTTAGCTATGGTTCATGGGGGAAAAGCTCAATAAAGAAAATATGAGATAAGTTAACCACACAAATGCACATATACACTCATATTTAACTTGAGATAATTAAATTGATGAGTCTTTATGTTAGGTTTTTTATGCTGTGTAATACATTACTATTCTGTGG